TTAAATACTGTTACAGACATATAATTTAAATTTTTTGTATTTACGTAAAATCGTGAACTTTTTATGGCATAACCATGAAGGGAAATTCGAAATTGTACAGTTTTGCTTTGTTTAATATTTTAAAGAGTATCATTGCACTTACGAACTGAATGATAAAATATACCAAATAACCATTATTTAAAAATTTAAAAATACGTTGATATGTAGACACAGACTAATACCACTTACAGTAAATGTGTTTTGGCGATTCAGAAATACCACTTGACTTCTCAGACCAGACAATTACAAATCTTATCCTAACTTTACTTTCGATTTATCTTTTAAATATTATTTATTGTATGATCAAGAAAAGGATAATCAAAGAAAACCACATTCTGACTAATTGAATTGACAGTTTTAGCTGGTTGGTGTCCACTGAGGACAATAAATGTCCAATCTTATATATGTTTGCTATCATAAAATGATTATAGTTTGTCCCATTAACTATATTAATGATACAAGTGTAATATATACGTTTTGTAATAAATAACAAAATCTTTATCCTGACCGGAATAATAACAGTCTGGCGTATATCGAATATTTCTATCAAGTAATGGTCTACTCTAATCGCAACAACAGAGCCTGGTGAAGGGAAAGATAATATGAAATTCAGAATTGCAGAGTGTTTGGTCGTGTGGGAATTTCATTGCTTCGTAGAAGTAGAGAATCTGAACCTTCGTATGGATACCTATATCACGTGTTATATCAAAGCATTACAATAACACCACGTAATTGGTCGTCCTTTCGGTACAGACATTCCGATGCTTGGTAGGATCATTGGCGACACCATACAAGTAAATTTTAATGGCAACTTTAACTTTTAGTAACATCCATCAGCAGTCATGAATCGTGTTTGTCTGCCTTAATTCATAAATGAGATTAAAAAATCGTTTCTTCATAGCCATACAATAACATTTTAGCTCAGTTGAGAGAAGATTGTGAAATGGCCGTCTGTTTTCAGTTCTAGTAATGTTCTGATGTTGAAAGTCTTTGTGATTTTCAGACTGTATTTTATTGCATGCCGATATTTGAGTGAAGTTTTAATGTAACTAGTTGGAAGAGTAATGGTGATTTATAACTCTCATTTCTGATCAATATACTTATATTTCATCATTTCATTCCCTACCAATTTACTTTAACACATTCCTCAATACCTTACCGATTCTATTCTTATAAAATGAAGATAAATGGCAAGCTCGGGAAATTGTGGATTTGTGTTGCTCACTCTAAAACTGCTCGAGTCTGATTCCCAAGACCATAGTCTTCTCAACAGAAAATCAGAAATATCAAAAAACACTTAGTCAATATGGTACTTTTGCTACTATCAGCTATTGTAAGGAATTAAAGCAATTGGAAAGTGTTATTTTTACGTATGTTTATAGGGGCTAGCTACTATTTGACCCAATAATTCTTATTATAAAAGGAATATTTTGAAACTGCTGGTTCCCTTTTTAAATCTCATTTAATAAATTAAATTCCAATATCCTTGAGACAATTGTGTACGTTAAAGCTAAGCCTTTCTTGAACTTTTTTAAAATTTAAACTGTCTACACAAATATTCAGAATATTAAGTTGATTATAAAGAATAACTATCATACAGTTGTAAAAATGCGTAATCAAAGTATTAAAGCCATTCTGAACTGTATATTGAGTGTCTGCTATTGATTCCTGGTGAGTTTCCCGCCATGTCTTTATCTGATGATGTCTGGTGACAATATAATGTTCAAATGTTACAGTAATATACAGCATTTATGAGAAAACCAACATATTATATGTGTCAACCCACTTTCAGACAAAAAATACATACACCAACAGATATGGTGTGGTCATGGCATATTAATGTCTGCACAATATAATTGATCATAAACAATTTGTTGAGAAAAGTTTGGAAATTTAAATCTTTGAAATTTTTGATCAATTCCACGAGAGAAAATCATTTACAAGCATTTGTAACTTCCTGTTTTACAAACTATCCAAGACGAAAATTGTTTGTACTCCATCGCGTCATATAATTACTACTGTAACAAGTAACTGAATTGAAAATGATTAAGTCAGGCTAAAGACAGTCTACCAACTAGATTGTCTATAGATAAGACTTAAAATACAAGTTGATATTATCAAATTAGACCTGATCAATGGGACAACTAGTCTGTGTTACATTAGATCTAACACCAGCCTGGTTTAACATTGGTCAAATCAAGTGTATAATAGGTAGATGGGTTGGTAACGAGATTATTTTGCCCAGACTAATATCTGAAAACATGATGTAATTTTATGCTTCAGTTATATTGTTTGCTGTTCTCTTTCTGGTTCTGAAACAAATTGAATGGCGACAAGTATGTGACTTTGTTCTCCTTTAAATATATTTGGATAACATGTATCAAGAATGTGTGTAAAACTGATACATGTATGACAGGGTCTGTTATAATGTTCTTCTTTTGTGTTATTTTTCAGTTATATTGTTTAATGTTCTCTTTCTGGTCGGTGTGACATTGTTCTTCTTGAATTATACCTTGTAGGACTGGATAACATATATAACATGTTATTTTTCCGGTATATGTACGTGTATCCACTTCTATAACGAATGTAAAGTAAAACTTAAGTGATTATCTATTGTATATCTGAACAATTCAAATGTACATTTTGTAGATGTAGAATTTTAAGTCTGAAAATGATAGATATTAATTTCAATCCATTTTAAACATTCTTGCTATAAAAAACGTCAAACAAAAAATGTGTTTCAAGTGTCTAGAAGAAGTGTCAAAGAATTGACATAAAAAGGACAAAGAAAATGACATTGTCGAAGATGCTTCTCTCCTAAATCATATTCAAAGTGCAAATTAACAGATTCTGTGACTTGTATTCTTGCACCATACCATAAAGCTACACCTGGGATGTCAACTGCTTCAATAAAAAGAAAAAAATCACAATTCTCTCTTGAAAAACCAGGATATATGAGGAAACCGGATACCGAGTAGGAGGTCGTCGAGGGAAGTATTCTATAACTTACATCCCACTGTACTACTATGGATAACTTAATATCTTGATAACCATGTAGAGGCGTGTATGTATGATTAAGCGATTCTATTAGTATGCTCCGTACAATATGAATGGCCAAATTAGAATTTATGTGATCAGTAAAAATATAACTTTAAAAGAGCATGATCGATTATAATCAGTTATAATCAAAAGTGTTTTGAGAGAGTCCATGAAAGAGTCCACATTTCAGTTTATATCCCATATGATGTATTGATGAAGTATGTTATATTTGAGTCATGACTGTCGACTCGTGTTTTATTAGTATATGACTGGTTAGTATCAAATATCTAAAAGTAAAGCTTGATTGATAGGGTGGATATTAAATAAAACGCAAAGGGAAATGTGAAAATAGAGAAATTTATTGTTGAATTCTCAAGACAAATAGTTTTAATTATGAATAAAAAAAATCAAGCTTGACGAAGATATGGTAATGGTTCAGATGTATCCAGTTACATGCCGGAATTCCCTTAGGTATTGTGGTTTTATCAACTTATTCCATACTACATGGACATGAGCTCAACAGTACACAACATCAAAGAGAAACAAATGGAACAACCACATTTTCATTGTTACTATTGGTAAAATGGAAAGAAGCCTCAGAAAATGCATGCGTGTTACATGTAACTGACAATAATTCGACCTGTAGAAAAAGGAAAAATTGTATGAAGAATATTCTAGCTGGAAATAGGTTGAGAATTTATAAGTTATCGAACCTCAAGGAAATTTATTTATGTAGACTTATGGCATGTATATGGTTTTCTATTAGTTTTTGTTGTAAGACTATAAGTTGTAGATGACATAAAACAAACAATGTCGGGCATCACTTGATATCTCTATATGGTTTCGTAACACTTCATATATCAATTACTCGCTGTAGTTGCCACCACTGCCACATTAGTTAGCTTCAGTTGTCAGGAAAATTAATCAAGGTACATCCAGCTTTTGTTTATTGTCTGGAATAAATCGGAGTTTAATGTCAATATAGTTGGTTATGGAATATCGGCTAGGTCATCCTTTAAGGCAAGACGCTGATGCTCATCCTCTTCAAATTCCACCTTGAAATGCTCGACGTGCAGGAATATAAACAGGGCGGGGCCTGCCCCTCCTTCCATCACCACCCTGGCGACAAATAAATAAATTTCGATATCTACTCTCAGTTCGTCAGAAACCTTGGCTTTATTGTTAGCTTTATAAGTTTTATTAGATGTTAGTCGATTTCGTCAGAATAATTTTGATTGACGTTCTACTTACTTTCTCAACTTTATCAGTTTATACTCAGAGACTATTCCCAATTCTCCTAAATCAGTTATATTTTCCTTACAGATCCGAATTTGATTTTCCGAGTGTTACATCTGGAACTGGGTCATTGTTGGTGTTTGTCAGTATGTATGATATAGGTCAGTGTATTTTGCTTGATTAAAAATCGTGTTTCCCTGTCAACGGTGAGATATAGAAATTAATTTGAAAACGAGTATGGTTGTCAGATTAGAATGACAACAGAATAGGGTTAAAGGTAATGAAATCACAAACCCTTGTCACATAAAATATGTTCCAATCTAAATTGGTTCCAATGTTCGTTTTGTAACCCTTGTGGTCGTTACATCTCAATAGAAATGTATCTTTATTATAAATAGGACCTTGTTTACAGAGGACTCGACAAAATTATAAAATCTTAATAGAAAGAATTAAATTTAACAAGTCCACATAGTGTTATGTCATACGCTCATCAAACGTATTATAAATATAAAGTAAATGACTACCTTGTACTGATCTGATAATGACTTTCTAAATAAACAAATACGAAGTAGTTTGATTAAGTCTGGCCTGTCTGATGTACACAACACGACTCATACATCACTTTCTCTCAGTTATCATTACTATCAGAATTATACCTATTGTTAGTTGGCTATCATAAATCTTGCTTAATAAACGGTTAACAATACCACACAGTTTCTACGATTACCAATACCACGAACTCTCTCCTTGGCTAACAGTACCACGCAGTTGCTACGATTACCAATACCACGAACTCTCTCCTTGGCTAACAATACCACACAGTTTCTACGATTACCAACACCACGAACTCTCCCCTTGGTTAACAATACCACACAGTTTCTACGATTACCAACACCACGATCTCTCTCCTTGGCTAACAATACCACACAGTTTCTACGATTACCAATACCACGAACTCTCTCCTTGACTAACAATACCACATTCTCCTCACAGTTAACTTTGCGGTTAACAGTACAGTTCCATCAATTCTCTCTACAACAACCTCTATGACTCCCTCCATACTCACTCTATAGCGAACAATTCTGTGAACAGTAGATCTACCACAAAACTATTTCTACAGTGAACTTTCGGCTTAACAGTATCAAAAAAAAAAACTTTCTCTTCAGTGATCTTTGTGGTAAACAGTACCAAAAACTCTCTCTACTCGCTCTGTAGTTAAGAATACTATTACACTATGAATAAAATAGCAACTCCCTCAGAAAACATTGACCCTGAAGTAGTCAACAAAATACTCAGTGGAGTTATATTTGATATCTATTTAGACCAAAGCAAATTTCTTTGTTTAAGAATCTATCTTAAGTATAATTAAATACATTTAGTCACGTCTTGAAAAGCTAAGCCTTTTTGAAATATAGTCGTTCTCGTGTAAATCACATTCTTCTTGCTTGAAAGCATAAAGAATGACGGGTAATCATCGGTAGATTTCACCAAGATGCAATACATGAATGTCATCAAAGAGCAAAGGAATCAATCTGTATTGAAACTGTCTAATAAAATTAAATTGCTCACTGTAAGGCATGAATGTAAACGAACCTTTCATCTGTTTTAAAAAGATAAAACAGTAGAAGAGAAACGTTAATCTAAAAGGGAAAAAAATTGGTGTCATTTGTCAAAATCAAAGCTGAAATGTGTCCATTAGAAGAGAGGAAAAGTCGTGACCACAAATTGTCTGTAACCACAATCTGGAGTTTACACAAGTTGATATTGTTGTGGTTAAAGTAGGCGAGTAATATCTCGCGTTAACTGCTCAAATATTGAACTGGCTATCAAAGGTCTAGTTTAATTAATCAACCATTCTAGATCCGAGATTATAGACTATCGTAACACTGGCTTATTCAATCTGAATAATCAAACCGTATAAACCCAGTCAAAGAAAAGAAAGTTCTATCTCAAGATATACATACAAGTTATAGACTTATGTTTCGGCGACAAGAGTTTATCTATATTTTAAAAGACAATCTTCTAGTGATAGAACGACAAAAGCAAACCATCGAATATTATGAAATTTCCACAAACAATTAATCTTTTCAAGCTCGCGTTAATATCATCACGTGTGAATATTTATAATATTATGTAAAGAATGCTATTGCAGATTTGAGCTCAATAGGATATTATATCAGACATTTAGACGACTGTACCCTTTAATGTGTATACCAATCTTAAAATGCACTATTCTTAAGTGTAGGCCTAAATAACTATGGTTGATAAAGAGCAACGGCAATTGTCCCAATTCAGCTTAAAAATAGATTACTAAACTAGTGTCCAAAAGAAACGATACCAACTTATTTTCAAAATTGTTTTTTTACTAAGTGAATTGTCTAATATGAAAACATGCCAATTCGTATTGCACATCCCAAACACAGCATAGTCGATAAAAATACCGAGAACACGTGATCACTTCCGGGAAAAAACGTAAATTTCATGAAAGTGACATTTCCCTCTCCAGCATGTTCTGCACGTGCATAAAAACTGTATAAAACGGCTGATCAGACACGTTGATATCACAGCAACAAAAAGAACACAAGATACGCCACGTTTGACAGCCATCGAGAGAGAGAGAGAGCCGTTGGAATGGTCCAACAAGTAGCGACACACGTCGACGTCGCCAGAAGGTTGGGCTGCGCACGCATCACTATCACCAGGTTGATGCAGCGGTTACGTCAGACAGGTCAGACGTCAGACAGGCCCAGGAGTGGAAGACCACGAGTAACCACGCCCCGTGAAGATCGTTACATTCGGGTATTACACCTGAGGAACCGCACCGTAACAGCGACGTCCACGGCGGCTACAGCACTGGGACACAGGATCAGTCGACAGACCGTCTACAGGAGACTACGGCAGTATGGTATCCGGCCACGTCATCCCTACCGCGGACCGCTCCTGACGCCTCGACACAGGAACAACAGACTGATCTGGGCCAGGCGAGTTCGACGTTGGCAACGGCGGGACTGGGCACGTGTTATGTTCTCTGATGAGAGCAGATTCCTCATCTTCAAAAACGAAGGACGGCAGCTTGTATACCGAACGTGAACGTTTGTCGCCTAACTGTATCCAACAGGTCCGGCCGTTTGGAGGTGGAGGGTTAATGGTTTGGGGTGGCATATGTGGTGACGTCAAAACGAGGCTTGTCGTAATTCGTGGAAACCTTAATGCACAGCGTTATATTGATGACATCCTACGGCCTGTTGTGGTGCCCTTTATTCAGCAACAGCCTCGTGGACTCCTTTTCCAACATGACCATGCAAGGCCACACACAGCAAGATTGACACAGAACTTCCTTGCCAACGCCAACGTTCAGGTTTTGCCATGGCCCGCATGTTCACCGGACATGAATCCCATCGAGCACTTATGGGACCACCTCGATCGGCAAATCCGACGTCGTCGTGTGCCTCCAGTCAACGTCCAGGACTTGGAACGATATCTCCTCGAGGAATGGCAACGCATCACTCCCAACGTCATCATACGTTTGACGGCATCAGTCCGTAGGCGTGTTCTGGCATGTATTGATGCTCACGGTGGACATACCCGCTACTGACTTGACTTTGTGACGTGTGGTATGACATTTCCCGTTGTTTCTGTGATCAGTGCTCTAACGAAATGTTCTTTTTTCGACCCCACCCATCTTTAAAGGCTTGTCATATTGGTTGTACAGATTTTATTGAAATGAAATTTTTGTACAGATGTTGTGAAAGGATTTCTCAAAAGCATAACACCAATCCTAAACTTCTGCATTGTTTAGTTTTTCTTTTATGTCGTTGCAAACAGGTTGTATCGTTTCTTTTGGACACTAGTTTAGTTAAAACAGATCACTTTGAAATAGTCTAATCTTTTTACAATTTAGTTTGTTGCTCGAACGCTAAAACCTGTGTGATTAATCACAAGCTATAGCTTACAATATGAATGGGACTCTCGTCTTATGTCTGTGAAAGTTATGCATAATTTTCTGCAATAATGGTAATTTTAGAATAATTTGATTTACATCTAATACGAGATATATCTCTACGTTGTTGAATTGTTTTCATACAGACAGGTTTATGGACGTAGGCCTACATCTCACGTTGGTCCAGGCTTAATTGCACAAGAAAAAAAATATTTTAGGCCTAAGTCTATTTTCCTATAGGCTTAGCCTATAGAAGATAGGAGTATAAAATGGGCCTACAGAAGTTATAGCTCAACCTTGTTCGTCCTTGAACTGTGTTTGAATGAATTTGATGACAACATTGACATGCGAACTGTTCTCAGACGTGACCTAGATAAGCTCAGTTTCCCGCCAAAAGATGAAGGGTGAGTTATCGTCATAATGCAAGTTGACATCAATCTCGATCCTGTAAGCATGAAAATGCAGACGAACACTGAAAGAAAATGGGGAATAATGCAACCATCTATTATAAATGCTGAAGCAGCTGTGAACTCTGTGTGGATCGAAACAGTTTCCAAGTAAGCGAGCTATTCAGTATCTCTGAGATATGCAAGTACCGTAGTGAGTTCCTCTCTGCTGGTAGTCCTCGGTTGAAAATCCTTATCTATTTTTATATTTCTACAATGCGATATTATACAAAAAGACCAAAAGGTCCTTCATTTCCCAATAAAGTATTTGTTCAATACTTGACCTGTACATTTGGCAGAATCAAGCCCTCCTTTCCCAGAATCCTTTTTGCCAAAATATAAATATCTGGAGATGTCTGATATCAACTAAAATGTTAAATTGCCCACCAGTTGATCGAATGCTTCCTCAATCAGAAACTGATCTGATATAGAGACCAAGATAATCAGACAGACAGCATGGTATTTTCTTGTTATGTGACATCTTCTATGAGATGGAAATTAAATGACTTGGTATGTACACAATAGATTGGCACCAGTTGGAAGAAAACATCATTGTTCAGACAGTTTAAGACAGGGACGTATTCATAATGTCAGGAACTTGCATAAAATGAATAATGGAAGTGAGTTTTGGTGGTATTTTTATCTATTGATTTAGACTGTAGTTCAAGTCAGTTCTCTGTGTAGTAAGATAAACCAATCTAAATTAATGTTATCTTTGTATTGTTACAACTTTATGCCTCAACAAATTTCCAAACCATTCACAGAAAATACGAGTTGAATTGCACACATTAACCTTTCCTGATATAGCTCAGAGAATGGAATATTGGGTAGATATACGACCAGTTGTTATCCCTGTCTTATGGAAATGATTTAAGTCTAGGTTTCTATTTAAGTTATTTCAACTGTCTGTGATGTAGTCATGTAGAAATTATCACTTTGTTTTAGCTGCCAAATATCAGAAAGAAACAGGTCAATATAGTACATGTATGTGATGATTATCCGTTGTTGGTTTAGTATATCATTGCTGTAGATTATTTACAAAGGGTTGGAATTGACAAGTAACTTAGTTCAATGGAGTTCATAGAGTGCTGTCATATTTGTCTTTATTTGTTATTATTGGCTTATTTGTGTTTAAAGCAACATAGGAAAACAAAGTAAAGTATATTGGCTTGATTTTTATGTGTTCAAAAATCAAAGAGCTAATTACACTCTTGAATTTTTGATGGATTAAACTTCAAACCCCTGAGATGCGTTTTTAAATTTGCTCAAAGAGTATGCTTTTCTACTCTATATATAGTTTTACCATTGGTCCATTGTGAATAAAGTGGAATCAATTTAGGAGGATACAGTGAAATCTACATTGACTTTGATATAAATAATTGTTTCAGACTTAGGTTGTGAATGTTGAAAGGGAATAAGAAATTTTGTCATTAGTTAAACTATCCCACTGTGGTTACCATCATTATTAAATTGAACGGAAATGACTTTATATTGAAATCTGTATGATTTTATTCTCCTACCTGCAGACTATACTTATATTAAACACTAATTAGACAACTCATTACTACATATACTTCTTAAATACAGTACTTACTATCCTAAGCAATCCAGCGGAAATACTTGAGGTACAAAAAGGGGGCAGACTGACTACTTTGGGAGACGACTGTTAAGGTTGAGATTCAATATGAGGAAGCTCTGTGCAAGGGCATTGGCGCAAACATTCGTTAAAGAATATAAGATGGTTCTCCCACAAGAAAAATTTTGAAAACTAGAATTTATTAGATGCATTCTGACACATATAAAAACCTGTTTGTTGGATACAATCAGGGATACATTGTTAAAATTCAATGTCCTTGTGTATATATATATTTGCTTTCGTCTAAATGGTATATAGCTAAGAATTCTACATGATTCTTGATCAGAAAGTTATGATAGTATTTTGACCATTGATGAATATAATAACATGAGTACATCTGAATTAACTATTGATCCCATTGCACTCTAGAGCACCTTTAAAATATCTAGTATACTGACTAAATACTAAAGTGAATATCAGAATAGTGGGTAAAACCATCTCTCATAATATAGTGTGAAATGAACAAATGATATTGACTTGTTTGTAAGAAGATTAGGCTAGCCAAGTCTAATGAGTTCAATGATTTTCTAATGTACTTTGATCTGAAGTAACCCTACCTAACTGACCGTTCAATCACTGAGGTCAGATACAGTTTCAACTTGCTAGAAATCTATTAGTTGGAAATCTTTAATCCTCTCTGGTTAAGATGATTATCCCTCATATTTCATTGTGTCATTTCTTGATTTAGTATAGATATATCAGATTTTAAGTAATCGTGGTTCAAAGATAAAAAATGAAAGGTCATTTTATCCATGTCATGGTGTTTTATCTAGTATACTCTGCCCATATGCAATCCTATACACAAGTAAAGCCATTGATAAAATAAAATGTTATCTTACTGAAAAATTGTTCACAGATCAGGAGAAGTGCTTGGCAAAAGATTTTTGTCACTTATGAAAGTGTAAATATATAAAATAGATAAATTTATTATTTATCAGGTATTATCCTCTTGACTAAAGGCTAAAAATTGACATTTGGATGTCATTTTCATAGATTTAGCTGTTCATGCAATTGTATAAGCAATGATATCCTCGAGTAGTTCCATTTCCACTATAAACAGATGCACAAATAAGTAATCTATATTCCTATATTCTACGAACATCTAGACTTCATATAATGTCGCAATAAATCATTGATCTAAAATCCATGCTAGAAATTGAAGACTAATTTAAGATAAGTTTCATACTTCCCTTTTTGAGACTGTCAACAAGCTGCTTCAGTAATCTGAACTAATGATGAAGATATCTTAAGTCACCCACAGGTCATATATTTCAAATCTAATTTACAATTGACATATAGTTTTCTCTTTTATTGGTTCCATTATTGACTTGTGAAAAATAAATTAAATGGTTTAACCACTTGAACTTTGTGATATTAGATTATTAGAAAGACTTGCAGCAAACTAGACAGTTTCTGCATTTAATATACAGTTAAAATGAGGCTTCTTAAGTTGTTTTTAGTTGAATACTTCAGATTGATATTAGTGATTTTCATATTGGCTGTTACTGGATTTCAGATTTCAGAGTCAAGTTATACATTTATATATTGGAATACATATTTTGCTACAAACAAGAGATGATGAAATTACTGCATTTGATGGTCTATTGTTGATGGTTTGACATATAAAGCTATTAACATATAGGAATCGTGCTTGATTAAAGCATTAAATCATAAAAACGATTGTCAGATTTGATGCCCAATAAACTGGAAAATTAGCAACTTATTTAATTCATGCATTTCAAAAAATAAATGGTCGAGTCTAAAACTGAACCCATTGACACTCTTTATTCATAGTGAATTTAATGATTATTGGAATTATTTATGCACACTTTTTTCATCCTCAAAATTGTCATGTATGTGTTAAAGATTTGTCAGTGGAAAGAAAATTGAAACTGTGTAATCTGGTTGTATTTAAACAAATAGCAAAAAGATTAGTGACACTCATAGTTCTATCCATGTTTCACCAATATCTCACTAATAAGATTGTATAAGAGCTAAAAGCATATTTAATTGAATGATTAATCTGAGGGAAGAGAAGTTGATAAAATATGATTTTCTGCATCCCAGTTTTTGGATGGTGTATTATATCCTTTGTTGGAAACATGGAGTTTAATACAATTTACTCCTGCCATTTATTAGGAATGTAATTTAACTAAGTGCTGAATTATAGAATATGGAATATGTCTCTAATCAAGAATCTATTTTTTTTCTAAATCCTCTGAGAATATAGCCAGGTACAGCAATTTATCATGTTCTACTTGAATACACCCTCTCTATTCCATTATGTGATATATCTAACAAGCCAGGTTTACAATGGTCCAGATAAAGATAGGTTGAATATTTCATGGTTTCAAACTATCAGAATCAGTATTTTTTTTAATGATACATCTTAACCCGAATAAAAAATTGAGAGGATTTGGGAAATGTAAATGCTGTGATAGAATATTCAAGTCATAGTCAGCTTATAGAGCATGTTGTAGAATAGGTTATAGACACAGCTTATAGTATATGTGGTAGAATAGGTTATAGACACAGCTTATAGTATATGTGGTAGAATAGGTTATAGGCACAGCTTATAGTATATGTTGTAGAATAGGTTAT